CACCTCAGAGAGTAACCCAGAGAGTACCTCAGACTGCACCCAATATACAAGTAACAAGTAACTCAGATTGTACAAGAGAGTACCTCAGACGGCCCCAGTACACAGAGAGTACCTCAGACTGTCTCTAATTTACAAGAGAGTACCTCAGAGAGTACCTCAGAATGCCTCCAATACACAAGAGGGAGTTTTCCATGTAATCCTCATTTCAGAATTATTATTTCCGTGTAAAGTCCGAGGAGAAGGTTTGAATTCCGGAGTGTTTGGCGTCTGCATCGTCTCCACCGTCGAGTCGAGTCGTTTTATTTTGAAATAAACGACCGAAGAATCTGGACTCGAGTTTTTAGTTTGAGCCAAAGTCCTTGAAAAAGAAAAGAAACAGAAACACATGGAAAACAGGTTTACCCCCCAAGACCAGGACTAGACCAGGACTAAACCAGGACTAGACCAGGACTAAACCAGGACTAGACCAGGACTAACAGGACTAAACCAGGACTAGACCAGGACTAAACCAGGACTGAACCAGGACTAGACCAGGACTGAACCAGGACTAAACCAGGACTAGACCAGGACTAAACCAGGACTAAACCAGGACTACAGACCAGGACTGAACCAGGACTAAAGCAGGACTAAAGCAGGACTAAACCAGGACTGAACCAGGAATAAACCAGGACTAGACCAGGACTAAACCAGGACTGAACCAGGACTGAACCAGGACTAAACCAGGACTGAACCAGGACTAAACCAGGACTGAACCAGACTAGACCAGGACTAGACCAAGACTGAACCAGGACTAGACCAGGACTAGACCAGACTGAACCAGGACTAGACCAAGACTAAACCAGGACTAGACCAGGACTGAACTAGAAACTAGACCAGGACTGAACCAGGACTAAACCAGGACTGAACCAGGACTGAACCAGGACTGAACCAGGGACTGAACCAGGACTAGACCAGGACTAGACCAAGACTGAACCAGGACTAGACCAGGACTAAACCAGGACTAAACCAGGACTAAACCAGGACTACACCAGAACTAAACCAGGACTAAAGTAGGACTAAACCAGGACTAAACCAAGGCTAAATGGGTCCAGGACTAAAGCCGGACTCACAGAAGATCCGGTCTCGGTCTCAGATCTGTTGTTTTTTTCTGCGGTGAATCTGGGTCAGTGGGTCTTCAGCAGGTTTCAATTAACCCAATTATCTCCAAAGAGACCGGATAGTCCAGACACAGTCCTGGTTCAGTCCGGATCCAGTCCTGGTTTAGTCCTGGTTCAGTCCTGGTTCAGTCCTGGTTTAGTCCTGGTTTAGTCCTGGTTTAGTCCTGGTTTAGTCCTGCTTTAGTCCTGGTTTAGTCCTGGTTTAGTCCTGTTAGTCCTTTTAGTCTGGTTTAGTCTGGTTTAGTCCTGTTCAGTCCTGTTTAGTCCTGCTTTAGTCCTGGTTTAGTCCTGGTTAGTCCTGCTTTAGTCCTGGTTTAGTCCTGGTTTAGTCTGGTTTAGTCCTGGTTTAGTCCCGGTTTAGTCCTGCTTTAGTCCTGTTTAGTCCTGGTTAGTCCTGCCTTTAGTCCTGGTTTAGTCCTGGTTTAGTCCTGGTTTAGTCCTGGTTCAGTCCTGGTTTAGTCCTGGTTCAGTCCCGGTTTAGTCCTGGTTCAGTCCTGGTTTAGTCCTGGTTCAGTCCTGGTTTAGTCCTGCTTTAGTTCTGGTTTAGTCCTGGTTTAGTCCTGCTTTAGTCCTGTTTTAGTTCTGGTTTAGTCCTGGTTTAGTCCTGGTTTAGTCCTTTTAGTCCTGGTTTAGTCCTGTTTAGTCCTTAGTCCTGTTTAGTCCTGGTTTAGTCCTGGTCAGTCCCGGTTTAGTCCTGCTTTTAGTCCTGGTTTAGTCCTGGTTTAGTCCTGCTTTAGTCCTGGTTTAGTCCTGGTTCAGTCCTTTAGTCCTGCTTTAGTCCTGCTTTAGTTCTGCTTTAGTCCTGGTTTAGTCCTGTTTTTTAGTCCTGGTTTAGTTCTGTTTAGTCCTGGTTTAGTCCTGGTTTAGTCCCGGTTTAGTCCTGGTTTAGTCCTGGTTTAGTCCTGCTTAGTCCTGGTTTAGTCCTGGTTTAGTCCTGGTTCAGTCCCGGTTTAGTCCTGCTTTAGTCCTGGTTTAGTCCTGTTTAGTCCTGCTTTAGTCCTGCTTTAGTCCTGCTTTAGTCCTGGTTTAGTTCTGCTTTTAGTCCTGGTTTAGTCCTGGTTTAGTCCTGCTTTAGTCCTGGTTTAGTCCTGCTTTAGTTCTGGTTTAGTCCTGGTTTAGTCCTGCTTTAGTCCTGGTTTAGTCCTGCTTTATTCCTGGTTCAGTCCTGCTTTTTAGTCCTGCTTTAGTCCTGGTTTAGTCCTGGTTTAGTTCTTCCTCTGGTTATTTATACTTCTGTATTTGACTCCTGACCTCTGACCTCTGAGGTCAGGGGTCAGAGGTCAGAGGTTCACCTCGGCTCCAAACAAACACAAAATGGCTCCTGGTTCTTTGACGACGAGACCGAGAACAAAAGAACAGAACAAGTTTAATCAAACAACTCCAGATCACTCCAGATCACCCCAGATCACCCCAGATCACTCCAGATCACTCCAGATCACCCCAGATCACCCCAGATCACTCCAGATCACCCCAGATCACCCCAGATCACTCCAGATCACCCCAGATCACCCCAGATCACTCCAGATCACCCCAGATCACCCCAGATCACCCCAGATCACCCCAGATCACCCCAGATCACCCAGATCACTCCAGATCACTCCAGATCACTCCAGATCACTCCAGATCACTCCAGATCACTCACCCCAGATCACTCCAGATCACCCAGATCACCCCAGATCACTCCAGATCACCCCAGATCACTCCAGATCACTCCAGATCACTCCAGATCACCCAGATCACTCCAGATCACTCCAGATCACCCCAGATCACTCCAGATCACCCCAGATCACCCCAGATCACCCCAGATCACCCCAGATCACTCCAGATCACTCCAGATCACTCCAGATCACCCCAGATCACTCCAGATCACTCCAGATCACCCCAGATCACCCCAGATCACTAAATCCATTCAATTCTTCATCTCGACCTCGACCTCCGGAGGTAAACAGAGCGACGCAAACTCTTCTGCAGATACTGACACACGAGACTAGAGCCTCCACGCTTCACTCAAACATTTGAATATAGAAGTGACAGCGGAAAATAAAGCCCAGGAAACACACAAAGCACCAACAAAAGTCACACTTCAAATCTGAAAAATACAACTAAATACAGTCATTTAATATTAAACACAGTACAGAAGAGAGACTGCCTCTAATGTACAAGAGAGTACCTCAGAGAGTACCTCAGACTGGACCCAATATACAAGAGAGTACCTCAGACTGGACCCAATATACAAGAGAGTACCTCAGACTGGACCCAATATACAAGAGAGTACCTCAGACTGCCTCTAATGTACAAGAGAGTACCTCAGAGTACCTCAGACTGGACCCAATATACAAGAGAGTACCTCAGACTGCCTCTAATGTACAAGAGAGTACCTCAGAGAGTACCTCAGACTGCCCCAGTACACAGAGAGTACCTCAGAATGCCTCAGTACAAAAGAGAGTACCTCGAACTGGACCCAGTATACAAGAGAGTACCTCAGACGGCCTCTAATATACTCAGAGAGTACCTCAGACTGCCCCAGTACACAGAGAGTACCTCAAATAGCTTCTAATAGACAAGAGAGGACCTCCAACTGCCTGTAATATACAAGAGAGTACCTCAGACCACCTCTAATGTAAAATAGAGTACCTCAGACTGCCCCGATATACAAGAGAGAACCTCAGACCGCCCAGTACACAGAGAGTACCTCAGACTGCCTCTAATATACTCAGAGAGTACCTCAGACTGCCCCAATATACAAGAGAGTACCTCAGACTGCTTCTAATATACTAAGAGAGTACCTCAGACTGCCCCAGTATACAAGAGAGTACCTCAGACCGCCCTGTATACAAGAAAGTACCTCAGAGAGTACCTCAGACTGCCCACAATATGCAAGAGAGTACCTCAGACTGCCTCTAATAAACAAGAGAGTACCTCAGACTGCCTCTAATAAACAAGAGAGTACCTCAGACTGGTTCCAATACACAAGAGAGTACCTCAGAGAGTACCTCAGACCGCCCCAGTACACAGGAGAGTACCTCAGAGAGTACCTCAGACCGCCCCAGTACACAGGAGAGTACCTCAGAGAGTACCCCAGACCGCCCCAGTCCACAGTAGTGTATGTGTGACCTCGTGTGTCTGTGGTTCTCTCCTCAGAGCTGGTGGCCCCTCGCTCTCTCTCCTTCTCCGAGATCGGCTCCAGGAGCATGAGGGCCTCGTGGGCCATCGACGCTCCCAACGTGGAGGCGTTCCTGGTGAGGTTCCGCGCGGTACCCGAGGGGGGCGCTCCGGAGCACTTCGTGTCCGTGTCGGTGCCGGGCCACACCAAGAGCGCCGTCCTCCCTCACCTCTCCCCGCTCACCCGCTACCAAGTCCAAGTCCAGGCCCAGTACCAGAGAGGAGACAGTTCTGCCGTCCACGGAGAAGAGAGCACGATCCAGGGTGAGACTCAGGACCTCGTGGAGTCCTGGTTTAGACCTGGTTTAGTCCTGGTTTAGATCCTGGTTTAGACCTGGTTTAGTCCTGGTTTAGTCCTGGTTTAGTCCTGGTTTAGTCCTGGTTTAGACCTGGTTTAATCCTGGTTTAGACCTGGTTTAATCCTGGTTTAGTCCTGGTTTAGTCCTGGTTTAGTCCTGGTTTAGTCCTGGTTTAGACCTGGTTTAATCCTGGTTTAGTCCTGGATTAGTCCTGGTTTAATCCTGTTCAGACTTGGTTTAGTCCTTTTTAGTCTTGTTTCCGTCCTGATTTTAGACCTGGTTTAGTCCTGGTTTTAGTTCTGGTTTCATTCTCATTTAGTCCTGGTTCAGACCTGGTTTTAGTTCTCGTTTAGACCTGGTTTCAGTCCTAGTTTTAGTCCTGGTTGAGTCCTGGATTTGTCCCGGTTCAGTCCAGGTTTAGTCCTGGTTTAATCCTTGTTTGGTTCTGGTTCAGTCCTGGTTCAGTCCTGGTTTAGTCACATTGTCTCTTAAATCTCTTTTGGCCTCGAGCTCCGGCTTCACTCTGAAACGACTCCGACTCCACACACACACACACACACACACACACACACACACACACACACACACACACACACACACACACACACACACACACACACACACACACACACACACACACACACACACACACACACACACACACACACATCACGCACTCACACACACACACACACACACACACACACACACACACACACACACACACACACGGGCCTCCGGGAAAATGAGGATCCGCCAGAGACACTCAGACCTGAACTTTCAACTCCTCCTGGAATGTCAGAACAAACACGGGGCGCGGGGAGGGGCATCTGGGCGCGGGGAGGCATCTGGGGCGGGAGGAGGGCGGGGGGAGGGGCATCTGGGGCGGGGAGGGCATCTGGGGCGGGGAGGAGGGGCATTGGGGCGGGGGAGGAGGCATCTGGGGCGGGGGCGGAGGGCATCTGGGGCGGGGAGGAGGGGGGAGGAGGGCATCTGGGGCGGGGGAGGGGCGGGGAGGGGCATCTGAGGCGCGGGGAGGGCATCTGGGCGCGGGGAGGAGGGCATCTGGGCGCGGGGAGGGGCATCTGGGGGCGGGGAGGAGGGCATCTGGGGCGGGAGGAGGGCATCTGGGCGCGGGGAGGAGGGCATCTGGGGCGCGGGGAGGGCATCTGGGGTAGAGGTCCGTGGGTGGTTTGGTTCCGCGTCGCACAGAAACAATAAATAACTTCGATTATTCCCGTTTTATTTATTATTCAAGTCAGCGGTGTTTTATTTTGGTTCAGTCCAGGTTTTGGTCCTGGTTTAGACCTGGTTTAGACTTGGTTTAGTCCTGGTTTAGTCCTGGTTTACCTGGTTTAGTCCTGGTTTAGACCTGGTTTAGTCCTGGTTTAGACCTGGTTTAGTCCCTGGTTAGTAGTCCTGGTTTAGACATGGTTTAGTCCTGGTTTAGACCTGGTTTAGTCCTGGTTTAGTCTGGTTTAGACCTGGTTTAGTCCTGGTTTAGTCCTGGTTTAGTCCTGGTTTAGTCCTGGTTTAGATGGTTTAGTCCTGGTTTAGACCTGGTTTAGTCCTGGTTTAAAGGTTTTGCTCTAAACTGTGAGCAGGTGTCAGTGGCGACATAAAAGGTGTTGGAATTGAGGGTTGTCGGGAAGATGGAACGTCCGAGCGGCGGTTTGTCCGAGCGGCGGTTTGTCGGAGCGGCGGCGGTTTGTCCGAGCGGCGGTTTGTCCGAGCGGCGGTTTGTCCGAGCGGCGGTTTGTCCGAGCGGCGGCGGTTTGTCCGAGCGCGCGGTTTGTCCGAGCGGCGGTTTGTCCGAGCGGCGGTTTGTCCGAGCGGCGGTTTGTCCGAGGGCGGCGGCGGTTGTCCGAGCGGCGGTTTGTCGGAGCGGCGGTTTGTCCGAGCGGCGGCGGTTTGTCGGAGCGGCGGTTGTCCGAACGGCGGTTGTCGAGCGCGGTTTGTCCGGCGGCGGTTTGTCCGAACGGCGGCGGTTTGTCGGAGAGCGGCGGTTTGTCCGAACGGCGGCGGCGGCGGTTTGTCCGAGCGGCGGCGGTTTGTCCGAGCGCGGCGAGCGGCGGTTTGTCCGAACGGCGGCGGTTTGTTTGTCCGAGCGGCGGTTTGTCGGCGAGCGGCGGCGCGTTTGTCCGAGCGGCGGTTTGTCCGAGCGGTTTTCCGTTTCGAGCGGCGGTTTGTTCCGAGCGGCGGTTTGAGCGGCGGTTTGTCCGAGCGGCGGTTTTGTCCGAGCGGCGGTTTTGTCCGAGCGGGTTTGTCGAACTTTTTTTGTCTGACCAGAGAAGGTTTGTGAACATCTGTGTGAACAGGACATGTGGTTTTGTGCGTCAGAAGGTGTGTTTTGTTGTGTGTTGTGTGTGTTTTGTGTGTGTGTGTGTTGTGTTTTGTGTGTTGTGTTGTTGTGTTTGTGTGTGTTTGTTGTGTGTTGTTGTGTTGTGTGTGTGTGTGTCTGTTGTGTGTGTTGTGTGTGTGTGTGTGTGTTTTGTGTGTTGTTGTGCGTTGGACGTGTTGCGTAATCGTGGTGAGTGGTGTCCCCTCGGCGTTCCTCAGCCTTCCGGGGAAGCGTGTGTGTGTGTTGGTGTGTGTGTGTGTGTGTGTGTGGTGTGTGTGTGTGTGTGTGTGTGTGTGTGTGTGTGCAGGGGCTTGTCTGGAATGTGACACCAATATTTTCCGTTTTATGTCACTGCGGCTTTTTCCTCCAAAACAAAACGAAACACGACGAAGCAGAAACAAGAAACACGCTCTTATTGTGAAAGGACAAACACACACACAGACGACAGGAGCAGACAGGAGCAGGCAGGAGCAGACAGGAGCAGAAGCAGGAGCAGAGGAGCAGGAGCAGACAGGCAGGAGCTGACAGGAGCTGACAGGAGCTGAGGAGCTGACAGGAGCAGACAGGAGCTGACAGGAGCTGACAGGAGCTGACAGGAGCAGAGCAGGAGCAGACAGGAGCTGACAGGAGCTGACAGGAGCTGACAGGAGCAGGAGCTGACAGGAGCAGACAGGAGCAGACTGACAGGAGCAGGCAGGAGCTGACAGGAGCTGACAGGAGCAGGAGCTGAGGAGCAGGCAGCAGACAGGAGCTGACAGGAGCATGACAGGAGCTGACAGGAGATGACAGGAGCAGAGCAGGAGCAGAGCAGGAGCTGACAGGAGCTGACAGGAGCAGACAGGAGCTGACAGGAGCTGACAGGAGCAGACAGGAGCAGACAGGAGCAGACAGGAGCTGACAGGAGCAGACAGGAGCAGGAGCAGACAGGAGCAGACAGGAGCAGGGACAGAGGAGTACATGCATTAGAATCAGTTCACCTTTTGCCCTCTCTCTCTCTCCTCTCTCTCTCTCTCTCTCCTCTCTTCCGTTTTCTCTCTATTCTTCCCTTTCTCTCTCCTCTCTCTTTCCCCTCTTCTCTCTCTTCTCTTCTCTTTTCTCTTTCTTCTCTTTCTCTCTCCTCTCCTCTCTCTCTCTCTCTTCTTTCTCTTTCTCTCTCTGTGTGTGTTTGGTTTAGCGTTTGTGTAACGTGAGGCTCCGGAGGTTCAAGGACTGTAGGAAAAATCAGCGCTGCCAAGTTTACAGGGAATTTTCCATCGACTCAGACACGACCAGGAAAGAGGGAAGAGAGGGAGGAGAGGAGGAACGAGAGGAGAGAGGGAGAGAGGAGGAGAGAGAGAGAGAGAGGAGAGAGGAGAGAGAGAGAGAGAGAGAGGAGAGAGAAGAGAGGGAGGAGAGGAGGAATGAGAGAGAAAAGAGAGGAGGAGAGAGAGGAATGAGAGAGAGGAGGAAGAGAAGAAGAGAGGGAGAGAGAGGAATGAGAGAGGAAGAGAGAGAGGAGAGAGGAGAGAGAGAGAGAGGAGAGAGAGAGAAAAGAGAGGAGGAATGAGAGAGAAGAGAGGAGAGAGGGAGGAGAGGAGGAATGAGAGAGAAAAGAGAGGAGGAGAGGAGGAATGGAGAGGAGAAGGAAGAGGAGAATGAGAGAGAAGAGAGGGAGGAGAGGAGAGAGAGGGAGAGAGAGAGAGAAGAGAGAGAGAGAGAGAGAGAGAGGAAGGAGAGGAGAGAGGAGAGAGAGAGGAGAGAAGGAGGGATGAGAGAGAAAAGAGGGAGAGGAGAACAGAGAGGGAGAGGAGAGAGAAAGAGGGACGAGAGGGAAAAGAGGGAGGAGAGAGGAGGAATGAGAGAGAACAGAGGGAGAGGAGAAGAGAGGACAGAGGAGAGAAGAGAGAAGGAGGGATGAGAGAGAAAAGAGGGAGGAGACGAGGGCAGGGGGAGGAGGAGAGAGAAGGGAGAGAAGAAAAGAGAGGAGGAGGAACGAGAGCGAGGAGGAGGAATGAGAAAGAGAGTGAAAAGACATTGTGGAAAAGATGGAAAGAGGAAAGAGGGAGAGAGAGAGAGAGAGAGAGAGAGAGAGAGGGCAGACAGAGGTGAGCGAGTGATGAGCGATGGAGAAAGACAGCGGAGAGAAAGAAAAGAGCAGATGTCAAATACGCCGAGTTCAGGTTCTGTCGTTTTCTCTCCTGTGATGATGTCATGGTTTGAGACGGGGGGCGGGGCCTGTGGGACTCTCTGGTGATGATGATGTCGTGGTTTGAGACGGGGGGCGGGGCCTGTGGGACTCTCTGGTGATGATGTCATGGTTTGAGACGGGGGCCTGTGGGACTCTCTGGTGATGTCATGGTTTGAGCGGGCGGGCCTGTGGGACTCTCTGGTGATGTCATGGTATGAGACGGGGGCGGAGCCTGTGGGACTCTCTGGTGATGATGTCATGGTATGAGACGGGGGGCGGAGCCTGTGGGACTCTCTGGTGATGATGTCGTGGTTTGAGACGGGGGGCGGGGCCTGTGGGACTCTCTGGTGATGATGTCATGGTTTGAGACGGGGGGCGGGGCTGTGGGACTCTCTGGTGATGATGTCATGGTTTGAGACGGGGGGCGGGGCCTGTGGGACTCTCTGGTGATGATGTCATGGGGAGAGTTTTTAATGAAATCTCCAAACTGCTTCTTCTGCTGCACAAATGTTTCTCCTTCTCGTTTTTTTGTTTGGGATCAGCTCCACAAACCAAACTCGTCATTTTATTTTAATCTTCTGTCCTAAAGTCTTTTCAGCTGAAACTCTCTCTCTTTCTCTCTTTTGTCTAACCACAGATGTGAACAGAGCAGGTCCAGGATCAGTCTGACAAACATCACATTTAGGAGCTTTGAGGATTTAAGTTTTAAGATTTTAAAGTTTAAGTTTTAAGTTTTGTTGTGAAAATAGAAAGAATCCGGAAACAGGAGACTCCAACAATCCGTGTGTCGTTCGTTCATTTGTTTTTCAATATAAAACCAAAAATGAGAAAATGAAAAAACAACAGTTTTCTTCATTATTTGTCTCCAAAACCAAAATGAACAAAACAGATGATTTAGTTTTTTCAGTTTTTGATTTTGTGTTTAAATGAAAAATGGAAAAAACGGATAACGACCGTTTCCTGTTTATGTGACTTCTGTGACTGCGATGCCGGACTGTTGCACCGCGTACGGACTGAACCAGGACTGATCCAGGTCTGAGGCCAGACCAGGACCAGACCAGGACCAGACCAGGACCAGGGTGGGACCAGGGCGGGACCAGGGCGGGACCAGGGCGGACTCCGAGCTTTGACTGCGAGCCTCCCCTGCTGTGGGCTCTGAACCTCCAGTCTGGTCCTGGTCTGGTCCTGGTCTCAGTCCCGGTCTGGTCCCGGTCTCAGTCCCGGTCTGGTCCCGGTCTGGTCCCGGTCTCAGTCCCGGTCTGGTCCAGGTCTGGTCTCGTACCTGGATCAGTCCTGGTTCTGCTTAATGTTTAATAAGAGCGTGTGGAAGTTGTTGCTTTTTTCATAATAAAAGTGTGTGTGTTTTCAGAATAAGAGCGTGTGAATGTTTGGGTTTTTCAGAATAAGAGCCTGGGTGTTTTCAGAATAAGAGCGTGTGAATGTTTGGGTTTTTCAGAATAAGAGCCTGGGTGTTTTCAGAATAAGAGCGTGTGAATGTTTGGGTTTTTCAGAGGTTTTTCAGAATAAGAGCGTGTGGATGTTTGGGTGTTTTCAGAATAAGAGCGTGTGGATGTTTGGGGGTGTTTTCAGAATAAGAGCGTGTAGATGTTTGGGTGTTTTCAGAATAAGAGCGCGTGGATTTTGTTGTTTTTTTCAGAATAAGAGCACGTAGATGTTGTAGTGTTTTCAGAATAAGAGCCTGGGTGTTTTCAGAATAAGAGCGTGCAAATGTTTGGGTGTTTTCAGAATAAGAGCGTGTGGATGTTTGGGTGTTTTCAGAATAAGAGCGTGTGGATTTTGTTGGTGTTTTCAGAATAAGAGCTTGTGGATGTTTGGGTGTTTTCAGAATAAGAGCGCGTGGCTGTTTGGGTGTTTTCAAAATAATAGCGTGTGGATGTTTGGGTGTTTTCAGAATAAGAGCGTGTGGATGTTTGGGTGTTTTCAGAATAAGAGCGTGTGGATGTTTGGGTGTTTTCAGAATAAGAGCAGGACCTGGGGTGGACTCGGTGGCGGTTTTTCGCAGGTTTACTTTGTGATTATGGTCAGAGCCGGACTCGGTCAAACACCAGCGCCATGGAAACCACACGTGTTTAAAGAAACAATGAGGAACATATACAAGTGTTCAACAAAAGAACTTTCCACAAACTAAAAATACGACTCAACTACAAATTACACAGACAAAACAGAACTAAACCAGAACTGAACCAGAACTGAACCAGGACTGAACCAGGACTGAACCAGAACTGAACCAGGACTGAACCAGGACTGAACCAGGTCTAAAACAGGTCTAAACCAGGACTAAACCAGGACTCAAACAGGTCTAAACCAGGACAAAACCAGGACTAAAACAGGACTAAACCAGGTCTAAACCAGTTCTAAACCAAGAGTAAACCAGGTCTAAACCAGGTCTAAACCAGGTTTAAACCAGGACTAAACCAGGACTAAAACAGGACTAAACCAGGACTAAACCACGTCTAAACCAGGACTAAATCAGGACTGAACCAGGTCTAAACCAGGACTGAACAAGGACTAAACCAGGTCTAAACCAGGACTAAACCAGGTCTAAACCAGGACTAAACCAGATCTAAACCAGGTCTAAACCAGGTCTAAACCAGGTCTAAACCAGGACAAAACCAGGACTCAAACAGGACTAAAACAGGACTTAACCAGGTTCTAAAATGAGGTAAATGTTAAAATTAATGACTCTGATATGAGGCTGACACAGGCTTTTGTTCAGTCCCGGTTCAGTCCCGGTTCAGTCCCGGTTCAGTCCCGGTTCAGTCCTGACTCAGTCCTGACTCAGTCCCGGTTCAGTCCTGACTCAGTCCCGGTCTGGGTTTTATGGAGGACTTATTGCCGTGTTTATTTTCCACAGGGGACGTTCCAGACAGATAATTTCAGTCACATGTTTGAACCAGACAGAATCCACAAACCTCAAACCTTTTTCCAGATCTCACCCCGAGACCCAGACCCGAGCCAGAACCAGAACCAGACCAGACCCGAGACTCCGCAACACGATCATAACATCAGACCCAGACCCAGACCCAGACCCGAGCCAGAACCAGAACCAGACCCAGACCCGAGCCAGAACCAGACCTGAGCCAGAACCAGAACCAGAACCAGACCCGAGACTTTGCAACACGATTATAACATCAGACCCAGACCCAGACCTGAGCCAGACCTGAGCCAGAACCAGACCCAAACCCGAGCCAGAACCAGAACCAGAACCAGACCCGAGACTCCGCAACACGATCATAACATCAGACCCAGACCCAGACCCGAGCCAGAACCAGAACCAGACCAGACCCGAGACTCCGCAACACGATCATAACATCAGACCCAGACCCAGACCCGAGCCAGAACCAGAACCAGACCAGACCCGAGACTCTGCAACACGATCATAACATCAGACCCAGACCCAGACCTGAGCCAGACCCGAGCCAGAACCAGAACCAGACCCGAGACTTTGCAACACGATTATAACATCAGACCCAGACCCAGACCCAGACCTGAGCCAGAACCAGAACCAGACCAGACCCGAGACTCCGCAACACGATCATAACATCAGACCCAGACCCAGACCCGAGCCAGAACCAGAACCAGACCCGAGACTTTGCAACACGATTATAACATCAGACCCAGACCCAGACCTGAGCCAGAACCAGACCCAAACCCGAGCCAGAACCAGACCCGAGCCAGAACCAGAACCAGAACCAGACCCGAGACTCCGCAACATGATCATAACATCAGACCCAGACCCAGACCTGAGCCAGAACCAGACCTGAGCCAGACCTGGTTTAGACCTGGTTTAGTCCTCCTTTAGTCCTAATTTAGACCTCCTTTAGTCCTGGTTTAGACCTGGTTTAGACCTGTTTTAGACCTGGTTTAGACCTCCTTCAGTCTTGGTTTAGTCCTGTTTTAGTCCTGGTTTAGACCTCCTTTAGTCCTCCTTTAGACCTTTTTAGTCCTGTTTTAGACCTGGTTTAGACCTCCTTTAGTCCTCCTTTAGACCTTTTTTAGTCCTGTTTTAGTCCTGGTTTAGACCTCCTTTAGTCCTCCTTTAGACCTTCTTTAGTCCTGTTTTAGTCCTGGTTTAGACCTCCTTTAGTCCTGACCCTTGTCCTCGTCTCTTGGCAGAAATCGGACCTCCTCGGGACCTCGTGACCTCGGACGTGACCGAGTCCAGTTTCTCGGTCTCGTGGTCCGCCGCGCCCGGTCCGGTCCGGTCCTACTCGCTCCGGTGGAGGTCCCTGTTCTCAGACGAGTCCGGACTGAAGCGGGTCCCGGGGGCCCAGACCAGCGCCGTCCTGGAGGGTCTGAGTCCGGAGACCCGGTACCAGGTCTGGGTCAAAGCGGAGTACGGCGAGCGGGAGAGCGACGAGCTGAGCGGCCTCGAGACCACGGAAGGTACGAAAAAAAAATAAATAAATAAAACGTTTCATATTTTGTGATTCATACGACGGAGTTTAAGGGTCAGATAAAAAAAAAAAACATGCTGGCGCTACGAGAATAAAGTCGTAACATTTTGACATTAAAGTCGCAATATTATGAGAACAAAGTTGAAGCCAGAAAAAGTCTTAATTTTACGTGAATAAAGTCATAATTTTACAAGAATAAAGTCGTAATTTTACAAGAATAAAGTCATAATTTTACAAGAATAAAGTCATAATTTTACGTGAATAAAGTTGTAATTTTTACGAGAAATAAAGTTGTAATTTTACGAGAATAAAGTCTTAATTTTACGTGAATAAAGTCATAATTTTACAAGAATAAAGTCGTAATTTTACAAGAATAAAGTCATAATTTTACAAGAATAAAGTCATAATTTTACGAGAATAAAGTTGTAATTTTACGAGAATAAAGTCTTAATTTTACGTGAATAAAGTCATAATTTTACAAGAATAAAGTCATAATTTTACAAGAATAAAGTCGTAATTTTACAAGAATAAAGTCATAATTTTACAAGAATAAAGTCATAATTTTACGTGAATAAAGTTGTAATTTTACGAGAATAAAGTCATAATTTTACGTGAATAAAACTGTAATTTTACGAGAATAAAGTCGTAATTTTACGAGAATAAAGTCGTAATTTTACGAGAATAAAGTCGTAATTTTACAAGAATAAAGTCGTAATTTTACAAGAATAAAGTCGTAATTTTACAAGAATAAAGTTGTAATTTTACGAGAATAAAGTTGTAATTTTACGAGAATAAAGTCATAATTTTACGTGAATAAAATTGTAATTTTACGAGAATAAAGTCGTAATTTTACGAGAATAAAGTCGTAATTTTACGAGAATAAAGTCGTAATTTTACAAGAATAAAGTCATAATTTTACAAGAATAAAGTCGTAATTTTACAAGAATAAAGTCATAATTTTACAAGAATAAAGTCATAATTTTACGAGAATAAAGTTGTAATTTTACGAGAATAAAGTCATAATTTTACGAGAATAAAGTCATAATTTTACAAGAATAAAGTCATAATTTTACAAGAATAAAGTCATAATTTTACAAGAATAAAGTCATAATTTTACAAGAATAAAGTCATAATTTTGAGAATAAAGTCGTAGTCAAAATAAAGTCATAATATTAGGAGAAAATCGTCGGCTCGTGGAGAATTTTGAGCATTTTGTAAAGGAGAAGAATCCGTGTATCATTCGTTCATTCGACTGAACCAGGACTGAATCAGGACTAAATCAGGTCCGGAACCAAACCAGAACTAAGACCAGGATTGAGACTGGGACCAGACCAGGACTGAAAACGGTTTAGTCCTGGTTTAAGTCATGGAAATGGGAAATGGCGTTTCTGTGACTTTAAAATGCAATGTGGGACTGAACTAGGACTAAACCAGGACTAAACCAGGACTGAACCAGGACTGAACCAGGGCTAAACCAGGACTGAACCGTTTTCAGTCCTGATCTGGTCCCAGTCTCAGTCCCGGTCCTGTTCCCGGTCTCAATCCTGGTCTCAGTTCCTGTCTGATCCCAGTCTCAGTCTTGGTCCTGGACTCAGTCTTTGTCTAAGTCCTGGTCTCAGTCCCGGTCTGGTCTCGGACCTGGTTTAGTCCTGGTTTAGTCCTGGTTTAGTCCTGGTTCAGTTCGAAGGTGCAAATAATGAAGAAAATTGTTGTTCGTTTTCTTATTTTTGGTTTTATTTTGAAAAACAAGGTTCTTCTTCTGCCGCATTTTTCACTTTGACTTTGATTTTATTACGATTTTATTTTAACTTCGACTTTATTCTCGTAAAATTATGACTTTAATGTCGAAATGTTACGACTTTATTCTCGTAGCTCCAGCATGTTTTTTTTTTTTTTTTTTAATCTGACCCTTATACTTCGTCGTAGATTCATATTTTGTGATTCATATTTCGTGTTTAATTCCGAGTCGGTTTGGTGGAAAAGTTTTTGTGGTTGAATATTTATCAGAGTTTTACGTGAGTGAAGTTTGTGTAGAAAATACAACAACAGTGGAAAAACGTCTGAGTTCTAAAACAGAATCCCTCTGTTTACGTCGTCAAACACGGAACGACTCGGACAGAAGCAGACGGTTTATCTCCGCCAAGTCGCCCACGTCAAACGCACGACTGGAAAAACAAACAAAAAAAGATCACAATCGATTCTGCAAAAAGTTTGGTTTGTGTGATTCTGGTTCTTAAAATATTATTATGGCTGAGTATCGTTAAGAAGTTTTCGATATGATACAAACCTCGATACAGTGAGTTTTTGATACGATATACTTCAAACGATTCGATACGCTTCAATAAAAAATAAAGTCTAAATTGTGGCTGGTTCAGAAGTTAATCGAAATAGTGACGATGGAGCTTCCGGAAAAACACAACACGAAACACGAGCGATGGAAAGATGGCGGCGCTGCGGCGCACAGTTTTAGAAATAATGAGGAGCGGACGTGTTTTATGGATAAGTTTAGAGAAAGTGACTTTTATAGATTTCAAAGTGATGATGTTGAAGTTGATTATAAAGTGAAAAACAACGACAGTGACGGACTTTCGGGGAGAAGATGAGAATGCAGCTGATGCGTCTGTGTGGATCCTGCGATGTCCCAACAAACTATCTGAGCTTTATACTCGATTATGAACCAAAATTGCCCTGAAATCTGGATGTTGCCCAGGCCAGTCCTTTAAAATATTTCAGTCTTTTTTCCAAGATGCGACGTATAACAGAATCACTACAGAAAAAAACACTTATGTGGAGCTCTGCACACGAGAAAATAACCAAGATGACAAATACTGGACACACACTGACGGGGGAAGAGTTTTATTATTATATTATAATAAGATAAATGAGTTGAATAAATAAAATAAGTTGAATAAGCTAAATGAGTTGAATAAGTTAAATGGAAAAAATGAATTGGGTGCACACAGGTGAACAACAGATAAAAACAGGTGAACACTTGGCTCTACTGTATCTGGTGATATGAAATCTGTTTAAATACTTTGACAAAGTATATATATATTTTTTTTATGAATATAGTTCTCAGAACATGCAGATATCAGATGCTGAATGTAGTTTTTTGTTTTCGATTTTGCACCTGACCAGGTAAACTCTCATTTTCAGTGAGCTGTTATAAACCTGTAAATGAGTTGAATCACATTTAAACATCCATAAATGAAGAGTTCAGAGTCTAAGGTTTCCAGAGATACAAATATGTCTGTGTTACAATTAAGTTCATGAGTGTAAAAATCATTTATAATCACTCGTGGAAGTGTGTTTTCTTTTATGCAGTGATGCTCTATGGGTGTAGCCCTAGTAACACATGTCTGGGTTGTTCCTAGTCGGCGTCCGGGGGGGAAAGAGTTAACGCCGACTGTCACAAATATGTAACAAACCGTTTGGATGGAGACATAAGTGGAGCGAGCGGCTGCGTCCCCCAGAGCCGTCGGTGCATCTGCAGGAGCTTCCCTGAGAACCTTCGCCAAACTCTTGTGTCTAGTGTCGCAAATTTGAAACATACACAGATTTATATTAATTTTGTTTTTGCTGTAGTCAATTAATAATCTCAACTTAATTTACCCTCTACTTAAAGGCAAAAGTACGGAAGACGAGTGGGGTCACAACAAACGCAAGCGCTGAAGCAAATACAAATGCCACAACACATTAAAAAGCCACAACAAACCAAAAAAAGCCACAACGGAAATGACCGCGGGACTCTGTTTTAATGCAAACGCCGCAACAAATACAAACACAACACAACAAACGCCACAACACAAACGCAAATGCCGCAACACATTAAAAAGCCACAACACATCAAAAAGCCACAACAGCCACAAGTGACCGCGGGACTCTATTTTTCCGACGGACCGATCAAGCGGCAAGTGAAGAAGAAGAAGAACTACAACGTGAAACGAATAATGTTAAAACAATAAATTACTTTTACTTACGTTTCCAACTTCTCCGTTCCTTTACTTTTCACGTTGTAGTTCTTCTTCTTCACTTGCCGCTTGATCGGTCCGTCGAAAAATAGAGTCCCGCGGTCATTTCCGTTGTGGCTTTTTTTGGTGTGTTGTGGCTTTTTAATGTGTCGTCGCGTTTGCATTTGTTGCGGCGTTTGCGTTTGTCGTGACGCCTCTCGGCTTCCGTACAAAAACACACACAAAACATTTTATAAACGTCTGTAGAAATTCAGGTGTGAAAATAATTAATCATTTTAGAAATAAACTCAGTCACAGCACAAATCAACACAAACCAAAAGCAAACGTTTGTATCATTTTCTGTTGTTTTGAGGCTGTTTCACATTTTAGGGGCTGGACGACGTCATCAGATCAAAATAAAACTGTTCATATTTTAAGAACCAGAATCACACAAACCAAATTTTTGCAGCACAAATGAAGCACAAACGATTGACACGGTTTTTGTGCAGGTTTGCGTTCGTGTCGTTTGATGGGGGCGACTTCACGCAGGTAGAAAATTTACACAAATCTTCGTTTAGTGCACGCGGCGTTTTGTTGCGATGGCGTTCACGGTGACCTCAGCTGGACACTGCAGTTTTCTTTTATTTGTTTGGACAATCCGGACGATCCTGTCTCGGGACTTTGATCCAGGTCTCTTTGGATTTGTGAGCGGGATGCGGGAGGGGGCTGAGGTTTTGTCTTCTTCTTCCCTCCTCCTCCTCCTCAGCTCACAGACGTAAAGCGAGATGATCATCAGAACCACTGCGGGTTTGTGTCTGGGTTGATCCCGTGTGCTGTGTCAGATCTGTGGAAGGGCGTGTGGTGTTTTTTGTGTCGGTTGTCGTGGGCAGATCGTTGTGTATTTGTTGTGTTGTTCGTCTCACAGCTGCGTTTCCACATAAAGCCCCAGAACTTTCTCCTCAAGGCTCCAACTGCTCCTATTAACTCACAATTAATGATTCTCACGTTTATGCCCCAGTTTAACGAGACGATCCAGACC